TGAGAGGAGGAGGAGGAGGAGGAGGAGGAGGAGGAGGAGGAGGAGGAGGAGGAGGAGGTTGAGAGGAGAGATGTATTGTTTCTTTTTGTCTCAATAAACTAAATGTGTGTTTTACCTCCAGATTAACAGTTTCTGTCGGCTTCATCTTCTTCTTCACCTCCTCAATCAGCTCAAACACATATTTCTCCACCTGCTGACTCTGCCTACACACACACACACACACACACACACACACACACACACACACACATTCAAACAGAACTGCAGCTGTTTCTCTGACATGATTCACACACAGAATGAAACAGAACCATTTCAATGTTTTATTGTTACCAGTTCAGAGTGACGGCAGCAGCTCGGACCGAGGTTTCTGTCTGCAGCAGGAGGTGGTGGGGGGAGACGGGGGAGTCTTCAGGCAGGACCAGCAGACTGCAGGAGGACACGGCCTGGAGCAGCCGATCGACTCGACACTCCAACAGATCTGTGGCGGCTTTAGAAACCTGCTCCAGCTCCTCCAGGGCCACATACACACACTCTATGACTGAGCACAGACGGGAACATTGTAGATTTAATCATGTGTCACCGTGTTTTACAGCAAACACCTCAACACAATGTAGGTTTATCACATCACGACAACATATAGCAGCAGATCTGTTCCTGCCTACATGCGTCAGTGTTGAGAGCGGTCCAGGACAGCGTGGTGAGTCCGGGAGAGAGCGCTGCCTCCACCCGGCCGATGAAGGGCTGCATCAGAGGGAGGAGAAGAGGCGGGATCCTGTCAACGACCGAGCTGTAGTCCTGCAGCAGCTCCTGCAGCCTGGAACAGAGCGGAGCGTCAAACACGAGTTCAAACAAAGATGAGTCGAGCAAAGACGAAAGAAACGTGAGATGTGAAGAGTTGTTGAGGAAAGTCTAGTCAAACATATCAAGTAAAAAGTTCACGGAACTCAAGTCATTTAGAATTAAAACCACAATCACTTCCCTAGAGTTGTGTCTCCATCCACCAGACTCATTTGGTTACTGTGACCTTGACCTTTCACCTCAATGAAACCTGATCAGTTCATCTGAGAGTCAAAGTGAACGTTTGCACCAAATGAGGAAGAATTATATCATGAAGTTCTCGTCACGTTCAGAGAGAAAATAATATGTGAATATTCAAACAGTACAAAATCAAATAGGAACGCTTGTTCTCACCGGTTGTAAAGAGCTTTGATCTCTGATTCTCTGGACGTCATCTTCACGATGACCTTTGGCACAAACACGCCGAGTTTGGTCATCCAGCGAGACTCCTGCAGAACCTCCAGCACCACAGGGTCCAGGTTCACCAAGACCTGCTGAACATACAGATCGTTATATACAGTCACTGATCGTCTTTATATACAGTCAATTATTTTGGTATTATATTATTTACTGATCCGTCACTGTTTTCAATCATCAGTCATACCTTGCAGTTTTCATGTCGGACCAGCAGGGCGGCGCTGAGGCAGTGCGGTGCCCTCTCTGCAGTCTGAACCCACCCCTGTAGGTGCACTTCTTCGTACTGCAGCAGCATGAGCGCCATCTTGTTGTAGCTGCGGATCGCTTTGGTCATCTCTGGCCCCTGGGAGAGACGGGGGGGTCACTGAGGTCACATGGGTCCGAGACACTGACACGGTTGGTCGAGTAACTCAAAGGCAGTACCTTCAAGACGTGCAGCTTCTTCTTCAGGGTCAACATGGGGGATTCAATCCTCCGGAGCAGGTGACGACACCACAGAACCCGACCGGCCACCTGAGAGAGAGACAGGTGAGTTTCTATTAGTGGAACCAAACCGACCCCGTGACCTTCAGTCTGTGAGCGGCGGTTCTGAAGCCTCAGATTCACGTGTTCAGCGCCATCTTGAAACCAGAATTAACCATATTTGGAGGAGCGGGGGGTGGAGCATGGCCGAGAGCTCGAGGACACGCCCACCTACACCTGCCACCTGCTCCCATTTGACGGTACCAGCTGTCAATCACACTGTGGTCACCCCCCCTTCCATCCGGTTCTTTCTGGTCTGTTTGACTCTAAATGATCTTAATTGATAAATGAACATCAGCTGTTTGAAGACGACTTGAGACTGAGACAAAAACTCCTGAGGACAAAGTTTACTGACGTTAGAAAGCGAGAAGAGACATTTTCTATAGAAACCAGAGGAGTCGCCCCCTGCTGGTCAGTACACAGAATACAGGATGCAGGGAGTCTCCATATACGACACAGTCGACTTTAGTAGATTATTATAAGTGTTGAGGATAGAGTCAATGAGACAGATAAACAGAGGGACAGGTGGACAGAGGGACAGGTGGACAGAGGGACGGGTGTACCGGAGGCAGGTTGCGTCCGATGGTCGGTCTCTCTCTCTGTCTCTCGTACGTCCTCCTCAGCAGCTCCAGCTCTCGGCTGTAAAACTGCAGCAGCTGCAGGTAATGAAGCTTCAGATCCAGAGGAGACGCAGGAAGAGACTCAAACTCAACCAGGAGGTCCAGCATCTGCTCTGTCTGAGACACACACAGAGAGACAGAGACACACACAGGGAGACAGAGACACACACAGGGTTAATATGAGCAGACACACACTCACAGACACACACACTCAGTGGGACGGATGATGAACCTACAGTGAGAGACTGATGGAACCAAAAGTCGAGCAGGGACAGAAGAGACTGGAACAAACTGTGAACCTGCAGCTGGAAGTCTGTGTAGTCACTGTCAAACTGACACACACACACAGACACACACAGAGACACACACAGAGACACACACACAGA